GTCACGGAGACACTGTAGCACAGATCTGCCTAAAACATGGACACACGTTTGATGTGAAGTGTATTTGATGGCTGGCTGACAGCTTTCAACTTGCACCCGGGCCTCCCCCTCCTTTTCTCCCATTGTCAGAAAGTATTTCGTCTCCTCTTGACTCAGTGTTGGGAGCTGGCGGCTTCTGGTTGAAGGCTGTGATGGGATTTGGGGAATAACTGCTACTCTAGATTAAGGATGGAGATGAGGATGACTAGTGACTGACAAAACAGACTTCTGGGAGGGCTTAGTTACTATACAGCATCAAGGTCAAGCAGTGGCGAAGGGAAGACTATACGGTAACCATACAGATGTGTGCGCTCACCTGTCTGTTATGGTTTCTTAAAAATGACTGATGTTTGCTGGCAGTAAAAGGCAGGTTTCACCTCCAGATCTTAGCTGTGAAACACCTGATTTCATTTAAAGATGGCCTAAAAAAAAAGGAATATAAATAAACCACCCACCCTGTCTGGTGTTTTATTAAATCTTCTCTGAGAATAGTTCTTAAATATTACTTAGTTGGAAGAGGGGAAATAAATTATATAGCTTACTAAAGCAAAGAAATTGCTTTAATGTACTGCACCTGCTCAGAACACACACATCCACACATGCACACGCTGTGTAGGAGAATGCCCACTGTATCCCTCCAATGGTTTACATAACTGAAATGATGTGCTTCAGCTCTTCTCTGCTTATCACCATGAGCCACACTTTATTGCCGGGGCCACCTCAAAGAAAATTAAATGCAGCCTCATCCGTTTGATACCCCCCAAGCACATTTTTGTGAGGTTCTATTGCTGCTGAGATATTGTTGAGCTGTTGTATTTTTTCAAACGCTCCCCCCCAAAGATCCAGCTAAATGCCATATTTTTTCTCTCTGTTTTCTTTTTCACGCCACAGTCACAATGGCTCACATTAGCTTTTGACTCCTTTCTACACCCCCAGTGTGTCTGACAATGTCCTTCTGGCTGGTTAAAACAATGAGCAGTAATACTGACAGAATGCTCTTCTGTTGAAAGGACATTTTCGATTTTATTCTATTCTGCTTGACTTCACTAAAAAATTTTTTACTGGGGAGATATTGGATGGGTATAGAGCCCTGCAAAAATCACTGAATTACACAAGATTGAATGCCCACTAAATTAGTTCCTGCAAGCTTTTTTTTTCTCCCCCCCTGTAAACCATTAATCTATGGTCCTTGCGGCGCACAAAATATAAAACCAATTAATAACATATTGGAAAATAAATGACTTTTCTCTTTGACATCTTTAATGTCTTTTTGGCTTTTTTGCAACAAAATTTGGTAATGAAGTTTTCACTCCTGTCAAGAGATATGAAACGTGCAGATCGTCAAACTCTTGCCATGTGCACACTGACCCCGTTGTGCACAACCACCACATGCATAACTTGGGCAATGCTTGCACATAAATAAAGAGTCTGTTGTGCGAGTTTATCCTGGACACACTGTGACCTCTCATTTCCCATTAGAGAGATTGAAAAGCGGTGTTGCGCTGCTAAAGATCAATCTTGTCTCCAGACCATTTTTTTGAAGGTCTTGGTATCGCCGGAGAATTGACCGCATTTTCTGTCTTGTCTCGGACAAAGAGGCTTTTATTTGAATACCAGTCAAGACCACATTTTGGAAGATATCACCTAATTCCCAGAGTCTGGTCTGGTTTATTTGGTCATTTCTGTGATTGGAGGGGAAACTTCCTCCCTCAAATGTTACTAAAAATTTGACTCATATCCATCCATCCATCATCTATACACTGCTTAATCCTCACTAGGGTCGCGGGGGGGCTGGAGTCTATCCCAGCTGACTCAGGGTGAAGGCAGGGGACACCCTGGACAGGTCACCAGTCTATCACAAGGCTTGACTCATATCGAACTTGAAATTTGTGTTGCTATTGCAAAACAGCAAAAGAAATGCTGACAGAGACGTTTTAAACTTGTCAGCAATGTAAGTAACTGTAGGTGATGGTAGACAAACTCTCTAGCTAGTCGTTTTCCACCAGAAATATCTTCAGGTCTTGCACTGCTAAATACTTCAAAGTAGTATTGAAGCATGTGAAATACCTCCCTATGTCTTCTATGTATGTTTTAGGGCACTACTTTCTGTGGTGCAGTGCATGTTTCTCAAATTACTGGAGGGTAATGCAGTCTTGGTTACATCTCACCCTGCTTCGATCTTGAATTTGACTTGATCTCGACCCTTCAAAGTCTTTGTCTTGTGTCAGTACCCAATCAGGATTTGCAGTAGGAAGTCTTGACTACAACACACGACCATACTGTCTGCAACACTAAAGCATAAAAATAACTCCGCCGACCTATAACACAACATTCTTTTCCCATTTCTTGCGGTGAAAAGCATAATCGTTCCTGCTGTATGTTCACAGAAAAAAACATTTGTGTGAATGAAAATCTATACTTATTGGATCGCACGGAGGTTGTAAGGAGGTGAGCGGAGTGTGTGGTGGATGGAGAACGCACAACAACTTCAGAAAGGTTTAATAGTGTAGGACTGTTTTATAACAATTGCAAAAGAATTCCTGAAATATTTTTCATAGTGATATATTTGGTACAAAAGGTGTGCAGCTTCCAAGCTATATTGATCTAATTTCACCATTACGTCAATGATTTCTTGAGGACTCTTTTGTTGCTTTAACAGTTAAGATCTCGTTTAATGCATTTTACTACGCCTACATTGTGTGTTAAATTGATTTGTGGTTCATCAAATCACCAAAAATTGCTTATTGAAACATACAAAATTCACAAAAGAGAAAAAAATAAGGGTTTATCCCAGCCTTTTTTAAACATACTGTCTGCATTTACAGGTTCCTTTTTTTTTTGTCAAAGAAAATAAGTATGCATCACTGCTCTGATTTGTACTTTCTCCTACATACCCATTATTCTCTGTGCTTTTCTAATCAAACGCTCATATGTGCATTGAGCTCAACACTTTCAATCTCCTATTACCTGCATGTGCCGTGGCCTAGTAATTATGTCAGCTCATCATTATTTTCATATTACATAAAGGCTGTGATTACGAATCCTTTATATTCCGTCTGCCGCGTCCCCTTTTCACAGCACACCACCTATTTCGGTAACACAAATGTGACCAAATGATTTTAACACAACCAGTTCTATTTTCAATTTACCTGGTTTTCAAGCGCAAACCCCGAAGTGACTTTTTTTTTTTTTTTCTCTCATTCCTTTTTGACAGAATAATGATGCAACTGCCTTGGAAATGAATGCAACTTCACATGTTTCATTTCAAAGTATAAGCAGAGAGAGAGAGAGAGAGAGAAAAAAAATATGAAGACCTGCCAGGTTGCAGAGATGTAAATTCATGTTGGGTCTGTTCTTTTTTCTTTTTTTGACATTATTACTCGATGCTGATTTGGAACTTTGCACCAAACCTTGGTATCTTCTGGATGGCTTAGGGTATATTGCAGTGTCTTTGATCAGGATTGCACCGTCATAGAAAATGAAAGGATTCCTCAGCAAAATGCATTAGCACTTACTTTGAACTATGGAAAAGAATATACAGTATTTTGAATGTCAGCTGCGGAATACATTGGCAAGTTCAAAGACTTAGCCTTGCATTGGAAAGACAATGAAACGCAGCAACGTTATTTCAATGGAAACAGGTAAATGCTAGAAGAAAACCATCTGGAACTACGGTTTTAGAAATAAATGTAGGCCTTGAAACATAGTTGTATGCTAATGCAATCATCACAAACAATTATTAATCTTCAAAATGCATGTTAAACATACCCAGAACTTTCGGAGACAGACCTTCTATCTAACAAGCACATATCATATGAGCGAACCAACTTTTGACAGACGGATGTTTAATGAGTTCGGCAATGCAATTATTTTCGTACCTCACCTAAATTACAAGCACATTAGAAAGGCATGAGGCTTACAGTCATACCATTCTGACACCATTCCTGAAACCACAGAATAACAATTCCGGTGAGAAGCGGTGGAGGAAGGAACTTTAACAAGCGAAGGAGCGAGAGAGGAGGCATTTTGAGAGCAATTAGTGTGTGGAGAGGAGAGGGGGAAAATGATTTGGTGAGGAGAAGTTGATGGAAAGACCTTCTTGAAAAGTGAGTGACTCTGCTGACTGAAGTCTTGAAGGTCATTTCACTGCTGGAAAGCCTGAAGAAATGGTGGGTCAGGACTGATTGGCTCAATGAACAGGTCAGCATCGGGGGGAAGGAAGTGTCCATCAGTGGCCGGAGAGGCATGGAAGGGCCAGGCAGCACTGTGGCAGGAGAGGGTTTCTTAGAAGTGTGGTGTGCCAGTACATAATCAGAGCTGTGAATCTGATATCATCGGACTCGGGGCCGCCAAGGGGGGGACGTGAGGAGCAATTTGAAACATGGACTGTGAATTTCTCAAAGCAAGGACACATTCCATCAGGAAGTTGAGCAGTGTCCCATGTCAGTGTCATCCCTGAATCCCTTATCCTGAAACAGACAAACTGAGCAAGCAAGTGAAGATTCTTTAAGGTTCACAAGCTTCATCTTAAATCCGTCGAGTCCTTCAGGGTACTGGGTGGTCCTAAACGTTCACTTTGCAAGTTCGCGAGTGCCCCATGTCACCCTCATGTCAAAGCTGAAAAGATGAAGTGCAACTTCCCCGCCATGAGGGTGTATTACAGGAACAGCAACACGTAAACTCGTGTTCTCTCCTCCCCAGGTTTAAATGTCAGCAAATAACAGTAACGTTAAGTTGATCTGCTAGCTTGCAGTGCATCCCTCTCTCAAGTGTGTCTGTTTCGCTAACCCAGCCGGACAGTGCATCTCTTGGTCTGTCTGTGTTTTCCCTGGTTGCAGCCACTTCCAGGGCTGTGTTCTGTGTCTTTGTCCCTGACAGGTAAATAAGACACAACTATTTGTTACATTTGTGTGTTTGTGAAGTGCAGCTCCAGGAACAGAACCGTATCCATATGCTTTTGCACAAACAGATGGTTTATAGCAGCACCCTTCGTGGGGACCAGTCCCCTCTATATATGGGCACAATGCCACCCTTCATAGATGCACATAACTTCAATGCAAAATAATGATTATCTAGTCTCCAAGTGAAGCCAACTGTTCCGTGAAAATTAAGGAAAATCTCAAAGAACTGGAGAGTTGGATGTGACTGTAGCAATGAAAAATTTTTTACATAGATCATGGATCAAAGCAGGAGGGCCCAATTCACAAAACTTGGTTTTGGTACTGATAGAAGTCCACTGCAGAGTCTGACATGTAAAGTTGAGTATCATCTGCATAAAAGCAAATAACTAAAGTAATAATTATTGAAACTCTGATTTGGAAAGGCCAAGTGCTTGGGTTTAGGGTTTACCAAATAACCATTTAAAGCATAATTTAAGTAAAAACATCCCATTTCCCTAGTCCATGATTCTCAAATGGGACGATTTAATTGTAATTCAATGCTGCTGGGCTTTGAAAAGTTTGTTGGTTAAATGAAGGAGTCAAAAATACAGAATTCATACAATTTCTTCTTCCACAAAATGATGAAAATAATCACTATTTGTAGCCATACATTGCAGTTCTGTTCAAACTATTACCCAAAAACAAAACATTTAACTAACCCAAATCATGACTGCAACAAAACTATTTCAAAATATAATGCCTGGTACCAATCCAGTGATTCAGCTTGCTAATCATACTGCTCTTGCTCATGACGCTTTCAGGATCAAAACTCTCACAAGCTTTACACAAAGAACCACACCTTTGCACTATATAGTAGCACACACTGGCGCTAACACTATAGAGGTCAGGAAATAGTTGGGGGAGAAAAATAGAAGCTCAGTCTTGTGGAGGTGGAGTGCGAAACAGTTGACAGACATCCATCTGTCTCCAAGGCATCCATAGACACACACCTGAACCTGAGTGTTGGAAGGTGAATGAGAAAAAACAGGCCTGAGAGTTGTACGTGTAGACATGGTACATAGGAGTAGCCAAAAAACACAATGTTTGGCCAAGGACTAGACCCCCAAGGATCCCAGAGGAGAAGGTGAGTGCTGACAGCAGAAATCACCTCCACAACTCCTTGAATGATAATGAACTGGCCTTAAGGCGGCATTATAGGATTAAAGTATGCAATGGCCTCCTAAAGCAAAAACAATCAGGATACAGCAAGAGAATTAACCAATGTTTTGTGCCGCATTACAAGAACACTCCTTAATTTTTTTGTGCAAATTGCACAGGAAAAGATAAAAGCAAACGGAATGTGCTTGAAGATGTCTGCGATGTACTCGAGTAAGGGATTTTTCTCATCCATACAAGAAGCTCTCCAATTATTCTATACTAATTTTCTACTTAACCAGATACATACATTCCCATTGGCTTCGCCTCAAGAAAAACTTTCATGGCTTTCCATTTGATTGAAAGGAAACAGGATACCTGCAGCGCAGATGATGGCGTTCCCATCATCAAAGAATTCCACTTTTCAAAGAACAAAAATAAGATGGCCTCTCACAGGGAATTTGTGGCAAGTTTACCTTTTACACAGTATTGCACCGCTTCAGGTTCAAGTAATTATATACTGTTAAGTGCGTCCCCGATGGCACGGGAACATGGGAGTGTGCTAGAAAAGTGTGCTCTTGAAGTATTATATTCCTCTGAGAAGCACTCCCATTTTTTTTTTTTTTTAGCAAAATATTTCATTATTTATTTTTTTCCCCCTCCCCGAGCGGTTTGACTTCAAAGGACTGAAACATTCCTCGAGTATCCAGGTTTCTATGTCTAATTAAGGATTCAAGAGGTGCTTGCTTCTTGCAACTATGTGTTTTTCGTAAACAATCAATATCCCCCCCGCTCGAAATAGAGCCAAATATGATGGGACTCAAAATCAAAAACAGTAATCAACCAACTGAAAAATGTTGCTGTGAAAACACAGCACTTAACATATGCAAAGTCACTTTGCGCCGTAATTTATGCCGTGATTACCACTGCCATTTATAATAAGTGCATCAGCTATATTCTGACATTATAGAGGTACTGCTTTTAAAGTAAATCGACCTTGCTATAATGTAGTTTGACTCTTTGGAAGTAAATATTCTGCAACAAACAGCTGACTCACTTTAGACATCAATCACTGTCTCTATAAGTGAACAAATAATCAAAGACAGAACACATCTTGAGTACAAAGCACTCCGTGTTTTTCCACGCGTCGTGCCTATTTTAACATGAAACTATTTACAAAAAAAAATACAAAAGGATAAAAGGAAGCTTGAACACACTGATAATTCACAGTTTTTATTTGTGCAAAACGGACATCTGCTGCATCTCTACTGAGTCAAAGTGGACAAAAAATATGAGGTGAACAGATTTGGGCGTGATCCCAATCTCCACACTCACTGCCTCTGAGGCATGATTCCTGCTAAGTGCATGAGAACTCACAGCTGCCCCGCTGCCAAATTGTCAAGTGCATAATATGTGCACTTTTATATCTAAGGGACTTGCCCATAGTTCATTACAAACTTGGTGATGGAATTGTCCTGCCTCCACAAAACGAACACAAATCAAGCCACGGCATCTGGCTGTTTGCTGTTGTTGTAATTTACTGCACAATTGCGGAGTTGTTTGCATTTTCAGTCAAACGGGAAGAAGATTTAAAGATATTTATGCTTTTTCTGACTTTATGCTAGTTTGCCGAAACGTCTGAACACTAAAAATGTCTCAAACGTGAAGTGATAACAAACTGAGCAGCTAATCAAACTCAGTGGAAATCTGATATTGTTTCTGAGCAATGCATGCTGTCAGTGTTCCTCCCTTTGGTATCATTTTGAGCCCTCATGAACTCACACACTGAGGCACTAAAGCTGTGCACACAGGTGGCTTCAGTTAAGGCTGCAAAGGTGTTCTAATTAAACCTGAGGGCGGAAATTGGGATTGGACAACAGTCAAGCTACAATTGTCATTGGATAATTGGTTGAACAGGGCTCAGGATGTATATTAGATGATAAATTCAAAGGTGGGAGTTGCCAGAGCCCTTGTCCAAGAATGCTCTAAAACAGGGGTGTCCAATTCTGGTCCTCGAGGGCCACAATCCTGCATGTTTTAGATGTTTCCCTCTTCCAACACACCTGATTCAAATGATCAGCTCATCATCAAGCTCTGCAGAAGCCTGATGACGATCCTGATCATTTGAATCTGATGTGTTGTAAGAGGGAAAACATGCAGGACTGTGGCCCTCGAGGACCAGGATTGGACACCCCTGCTCTAAAAACTACGTCAGGAACACAGACTCTCTTCAAGGTGTTGAGATAAAAGTATAAAAAGTGCTGGCCACCAAGAGGAAACATCAAAACTGCAAAAATCCATTCACATCATTGTCAGAAGCATCTGATTCACCTTGTTTTATGCAGAAAAAAATTGCATTTGCAGAAAATGATGCAAAGCTTTCTCAAGAAAACAACCCAGACTGGTGACAATGTTGTTGTATTCATTAGCGAAACTGTTACTAAATTAGACAGGTACCTGTTAGAGACTAAATTAAATAAGTGCATGTGTAATACTTCAATTTTTTTGGCTCACAATTTAACAGGAAAATCATCCACATTAATATGGCAGACTGGGACTTAGTCCAGCTATTAGATTTACATAATCTTCTGGTGAAATGTGGCTATTACTATAATCATAGGACATCAGAGAGACTTTTTTTTTTTTTTCCACATGAAATTGGAAATGACGATCTGGCCAGCTGGTATATGAACCTGCAGTCTGTGCTTTAATATTTCTAAGATGGTAACAAAGGCTTTGATTCCTGATTAAAGTACTGAACACCATTAATGGTAACTCTGGTTGTGTGATCACAGACATCAAGGATGTATTGGTTTCCCTTAAACTCATGATAGAGAAGCATTCATCCACACCACACTTACAGAAGCCTTTATCACTGGCCTGAAGAACAGCTTTTGGTTTCCTCAACTGGCCAAAATATTACTGCTATGGTTGCATTAATTTAACGAAGCACTACATCTGATTCATCTGGAATTTTGGAACAACCTCTCGGTGTGTTCCAATCGCAACTTTCTTCCTACGCCAGAAATATTATGTTCTACAACATCCAGTCTCCTTTTATAGTGTGTAAGCCTACATGCTTTCTGGTCGTTCTTAGCCCAGAGGTCACAGTCTCTTGCACAAGCATAAAAAAAAAGCTTGAGCCACACAGATGCCACATCAGTGGCGTCAAGTAGTTGGTCCAGCTGCAGTAAGTACTGAGAGTAAAATGAAAAAAGTAGATGATTTGGAAGTGAGTCGTGTCATTTATTTCAGATCTGCCTTCGACCAGCTGCTCAGTCAGGTAAAGTGACCACAGGTGTGCATCATTAGGTGCTCGGCGCCGCGATGACCTCGGTGCTGTTAAACTTTTAGAAAGAGGTGAAATAGTTTGAAAGGAAATCGCATTCTTTAAAAGCAGATCTGTATTTGCGATGATAGGTAAACAGCTGTGTCAGCATTAACTGGAAAAAGTCCTAAATTGATGTGTTGTTTCTAATTTTTTGCAATTAAAGTTGCCTCATATCTCGTTTGCTCACATCTTTCACCTGAGCAGGTGGTAGGTTCCAGTTAAGTTTGGCTGAGAACATCAAAGAGTAGTTTGTGAAACTGAGTGGAGGGTTTTCTTCTGTTGGTTTTTTAGTTTAACTTTCCCCCCCAACTCCTTTTTGCTGCTTCACCCTCTGCTTTAGAGTTTGCCAGTGCCACACAACGCTGTCTATTTTTTGTTGTAAGGTTGCAGCACTATGTTCCCCCTTCATGAGACAAATGACTGACAGATGCCAATCTAAAGTATATTAAAAGCAACATGTTCAACAGTGTTATGGCTGCTTAAGCTTCTGTGGCTATGTGCCCTGCAGATTACATGCAAACACTTTTAAGTCACAAATAAAGAACTTCAAGCAAAGAATGAAATATGCATCTGCATTGTTGGGACATCTGTCATCAGCTGACAGGATGAACATGCCAACAGCGGCCGACTTAAATGAGCTTGGCACAAAAGAAAACACTTGGGTGTTGACTCAGTCACTCCATGCCTAAAGCTGAGATGGCAGGCAGCCCAATCTATACAGAGCTGTGTAGTGTCTCATTGGCATATAGTGCATATGTCCTTGATGATAGTGTTGGTGGTAAAGAGCATAATGCAGAAGTTCATATTTCAAAGCGGACGAAACAAAACAAGAAACAAACAACAGAGCAACTGCCAAGTTTTTTTTTTTCTGGAAACTTATTACTAAGTGTGGTTCTTCTAAGGGCCTCCATCTATAATATGAAAACAGAACACTGGTATATGAAATAAAAAAAAATTTAAAGCTATTTTTTGGCCTTTGTTTGATAGTGCAGTGGGGGAGAAGAATGGGAGGAGGACATGTGGGAAAGGGCCATGAGTGGGATTCGAACTCATGACCTCCACATCGGGACTGTAGCCCTGCACATGGGACGCCTGCTCAACCAGGTGAGCGACAGCAGCGCCCCTGAAATGCAATATTAACACGAACATGCTACAAATAAAGGATCACGTCAGTAGAAAATAAGATTTACACAAAAACCAGTGTGCCTCACATTGGCATCACAATGCTTTTTGCAACATTGTTACACCTCGTTTCCACATTGCTTTGTTTGGTGTCTGTAATTGTGCTCAGTATGGATGGACAATATATGCAATATATTGTTTTACAGAAAGATGGAAACTGTAGCACAGCCATGTGCTGCATCAGATTTTTCACATTCCAGCCTACAATTAGAACAGAAATAGGACCAATAATGCATGACGTGGCCCATCAAGGCTTTTAAATTTAATCAATTTTGTGTTTAACTGATTGATATCAAGGTCTGCAAGGCGGCTTGGTGGTTAGCATCGTTGCCTCGCAGCAAGAGGACACCC